CTGAAATAATCTATACAAAATCTTTCAACTCTCTCCTTACCCTAACCCCCCCATAAAATCGCTTCATGGCTCAGAGAGTTTAGTAGAGGATGAAAGTTGAAACATACTTTTATTGATTCAGGCACACAGCAAGAGAGAGAATAAGGATGAAATTAGAAATTACATCTTCAGATTATCACTTAAGAAAAGGAAAAACAGAACAAGACCCTAATACGGGAAAGTAGTTATAATTTGTACACATGAAACATTTCAGAGGCAGTTTAATATCTTTCCAATGGAAGAGTCTGGTATCAGATGTGGAATAGGTAGACAAAACTGCCTATCATAAAGCAAAATCTATTCAAAATAATAATAGCAACAGTAATTACTCAGATTAATGGAAAATTAACATAATAAACATGTAAGGTGTTTTAACTGATATATCTATACCTATATAGATTATATGTATGTATGTATATAAAGTAGTATTCTTATCATGCCCTATAATGATTTCCAGAAGCACTTTATATTCACATTTTATCTTTGAGAGAAAGATGCATTTCCTGAAATAAGTACAGGAGTTTTGTAGTTACTCATTTCATAACCCGTAGACTAGAGACTCAGTAAGCCAAGCTGCAGAAGAATTAAGTCTGGAATTTTACTAAACAGCTTCAAAACTTCAATGCTTAAGAATAATTAAAAAAAAAAAAAAAAAAGAAAAGTGAAGAGAATTGCTTTTCAAAGTTTGTATGAAAAACAATGAAAATATAATTTCGTATCTTATATAGCAACTACAGACATAAAAATACAGAGCACGATGTATATCATACACTCAGGAATTACAACACTGCTTTTCTGATTACTTACAATTATCTACAGTTTCAACTTTAGACAACTTTTGAAGCCTTCTAAGCGCATTAGACAAGAAAAGATCTGCAGTATACAGAGATATGCAGATCAAAGTTAACAATGATGAGCCATCTTGTTTTGGAAGGGTTTCAAGGTGTTATCCAGATAAGCCTGAAAAGTCAGTACACCTGTCTGAACCTACACCAAACTCTTCTTTCTTCTGACTACACCATTTGTAACATAGGCAGATTTTAGTTCTCTGGACAATTCAGGAAGCTCTTCCTTTCCTGTTACTACAGACTTCTCATTTTGTCACATCTTCAGAGGTCCTACATTTATTTTAATAAACATAAGACTGTCTTTTCTCAGCTAACCAGCCTTTTCTAAAGTTGGGAACATTCTGTAAATTGACACTAATGAAAGACAGTGGATAGATCAGCAATTGTTGGCAATGTTTATAATCCTGTGATAAAATAGACAAAATATCACCAAAGAGGTGATCTTCACTTCTTTAATTTATGCTCCCTAAAAAAAAAAGGTGGAATATTTTTCAATTTTTCCTTTTTTCCCTTTTATTTTCCTTCTCAAAAGTCCCTAAATCTCAGCTTAGTCACTGAAAACTCTAAAGTCAGTCCATTCTAAGTGATGATGAAATATTCTCTGCAAGGGTTTTCAGATTGGATCAGTAATAGAATACATTTTCAAGGGTTCCTTAACTTGGACTCTTACAAAAATATACAACCCTGAAATTTAACGAGAAATCTCAGCATAGTTTTGTACCAATATTATTGCACACATAAACAATGCATGCAGAACCAGCCCCTTTAAAAAACAGGATTTAAATGTCTATGAGCAGATTTCAGAAAAATTAAAATTTTCAAGTAAAAATCGTATGTTAAATCATAGCATTGTGTATACTAGGTATACCTATAATTGCAGATCTCTGTTACTTAAAGAGCACTAAATAGCACATAATTGTTTGTGTGATCACTTTTACTCTTTTGTAGGCAGGAAGGAAACTTAGTTATTATATTTTTAAATCAATCAGAAAGCTTAAAAAGAAGAATTTGTTACAAAAAAAGGGAGAGAGAGAAGGGGGGGGAGGGGGGGGGAGGTGAGGAAAGCACTTAACAATCTGGTACTCTGATTTTTTTCTGCTTAAAGCTGCATCCTAACAGAAAATTCAAACTTCATAAACTTCTCAAACAAAGAGTCATCTTAGGACCACAAAGATGATTAAGAGATTGGAGCATCTGACAGAGAGGCTGAGAGAGCTGGGACTGTTTGACCTGGAAGCGGCTCAGGGCAGATTTTATCAATGTATATGAATAGGGTTGGAGTGAAGAAAATGGAGCCAGACTCTCCTCAGTGTTGCCCAACAGACACAAATTGAAATACAGGAAATTCCATTGAAACATAAAAGAAAAGATTTTATTTTGAGAGTAGTCAAACACTGGAACAGGTTGCAAAGAGACATTATGGAGTCTCCATCCTTGATGATACTGTAGTCCAAACTGGATATAACCCTGAACAACCTGCTCTGTGTGACCCTACTTTGATGAGTGGAGGTTGGACTAGATGATATCTAGTGGTGCCTGCCAACCTCAACTATTCTGTGGTTCTGTAAGTATGCAGTGAAAATATGGAGGAAGATGTTCACAACTGGCAAGAATTTTCTAGTATCAGCAAATGTGGCAGCATATAACAATAGCACCTATGTCGTCTACAGCAGTTATAGCAGTTCTTTCTTGATAGGGCTCTTACAGTAGTTTTGTACATATTCACAATGTAGATGCAAAGATGCTCATTGATTTGAACTCATAAAATCAGATTGTAAACCCATTTGCATACTTGCTTGTCTATAAAATTCTGGAACGACTGTCATGTAGTGCTGCTGTCATGATGCTCCTTACCTTTGCTGAAACATACTCCATGGAACACTCTAATCTAGAGCTTCCTTCTTACAGTTTGAATGTTTGCATTTTTTGTGCTGTTTGAGACTCAACACCACCACAATGGCACAGTCATGCTCACCCTTTCTGCTGTGGTAAACCATGTAATGTGAAACGAATTCCAACTTCATAGCAATTTCATTTAAACCTTTCCTCTTTTGCAAGAGACACAAAGCATTACCATCCTAAAGGATTCGATGATCTTACATATGCCTATCTTCTTTGATTTTGAATTATTTTCTTCCTTCTTTTTATTCATCATTTTAAAAAGTTTTACATCTGTTTTTTGGGGTTGATATTCTAAGAAATTGGATCTGTGTTTTTAGTACCATATATTTTTATTGTTAGCTTGTTATGACCAGCTTTAAAGGACTAGAGAGGAATTGGATACTTCAGGCATTAGTTGTGGTTTTAAGGTGCTTTCTTAGAATAAAAAGAATGCAAAAAAACCCTCCCAGAAGATATTATATCAAGAGGTGATCTGCTCTTATATATTAACTGTAACACAAAACCCCAAACGATAATGTTGACAAGGTTTTTTTTCCTGTCTCCCTCTTTTTGGCCTGATTATTTTTCTCTGACTTCTTTCATGTCATCTCCTTTCTACTTTTCACATGCATTTTTTTCTTTGATATTTTCCTGCCTTACTTCCCCCAAATAATTTCCCTTTGCTTCTGCAAGTTTTGATCTCTCCCTCATAAACACAAATGTTTCTGCCCTATAAAAACTTTTGTTCTTTCCCCACATAGACCCTATCTATTAGTCTCAAGTTGCATCCACTCTGCACCAACTTTACTTCTTTCACTAGATTTTACCCTGTAAATCCCATCATGCAAAATATTTTAATCCTGATTCATTTTTTTTGCTGGTCACACCTGCCCAGACTACCACTATGAGACCTACTTGCCTGACACCTTCCCATGCTTGCCTACACTCTCAGTCTCATCCCTCCTTCCCTCTGCTTATTTTATAACTGTCTCTTACCAACCTTAGCTGTCTGACTCCTCTTCATTTTGTCACTCCATCTTTAGCCTTTTGAAAAACTGTAAATTTCTAATAGAATATTTCTGGCTATGTGTCTATCTCACTATGTAAAGGAGCTCCTGAGCCCTCAGGCCAAGAGGCATAGGCGCAATTTTGTGCACAGAGCTAAACCCTCTTCAGTTGCCACCCTCCTCCAGACAAAACATTTGCATCCAAACTGCCAACAGTTTCTGTCATGAGGTATTTCCTATACTGTGCATTTTCTCAGAGAATATTAGTCATCTATAACCAAAACCATGCCAAGGATCATGCTCATACTTAAACAGATATGTGATCATAGGCACATACTCAAACATCCACCCATCTATCTGATCTCCAAGACCCAGTAATCTTCCTCTCTGTTTTGATCTGTCTAGTTTATTAACTTTCCTTTGCCTTAGCAAAAATCAGTGCTAAAGACTGAGATAAGTGGGGAACAACTGGGGAAGATGTAAAGGCTCAGGTAAGCTTTGATGAAGCAAGTGGGAGAATTTAACTCATCTTTAACTTAAACAGAGAGAATGTTGCACCACCATCAACAGGTTGACTGCTGAGTGCCTCCATCTTCAGGTGGATCTGTTCATCTCCTTCCTGCAACACAGCCTTTCCTAATTTAACTATGTGTAAGATCAAGTCACTGCTAGTAGATGTTATAGTAACTTTCAAAAGAAAATAGTAGTTTGAGAAACAGATTGTTACAGGACTTTACATTAGTATAAGGCCTCAGGAGATGTATCAAAAATAGAATTTCAGGATGGAAAATTATGAAAGACGTGTGTGCAGCATGGAGTTATTTTAACTAACTCAGTTTCTTCAGGCACCTATATTCATGATAACATTACCTAATCAAGCAAAGCAGCAAAAAATCAGAAGATATCTGACCTATTAAAAGTTAATAGGGAGATTATTGTCTAATGATAGGTAATTCACGCTCTGAAAGGTTTTTTGTTTATAAAGAAAAAGAACAGGGGTGAAAAATATAAAGTATTATTATTTGCTGTTATTTGTATTTTAAAGTACTGAGCTGCCACAATTTCCATTACATACAGTACATTTACGTAGCAATAATGTTACATTACAGGAACTCCTGTGTGATTATTTGGGCGCTGGTTTCCTAGACTGTTAATTTATTAACAAGTGAATATAAGCCATGAATTCAAAAGATTGCCCGTGTGAAGGTGTTTCTAGTGATCCTACCTGTTGGCGGGATGATTCCAGGAGACATTAGGCCTGGGACAGAATGTGGCATGATATGAGAATTCTCTGGGGAGGTGACACTTTGAGTCCTCTTAGGAGGCCTTCCAGGTCTAGAACTGAAACAAACAAACAAAAAAATTTTTACAATTAAGCTGTTGTCTTACACATCATTTCAAAGTTGTTTCAAGTGGTAACATGGACTGTAAATAAATTTGTTTCAAGGACGGTTGCTTTTGCAGTTAGATGTAATAGACTTCCATCACTAATTAGATTACATGCTGAATTCATTTTCCTCATTGAAGATCAGCCACTCTTGATGCATAATTCATAGCCTGCACCTCGTTACCTGCTTCTTCATATTAATATCTATACACAGTTTGAATTGCCTCGTTTGCATATGCTAAAGTTCTGCATGCAGCCTTCAGCACGAAAATTATGCACTAACTTGTAATAATTATTACAGTCAGCCTGCTATTGATTTATGAGACTTTTAAAAACCAAATATGTGTAGTACTTGTAATGAATGATATTTTAAGGTTCTTCAGGAAATTAAAAGGCAATGGCTGCCTAAGGAAATGTTCTGCTTGTTTGATTTAATACTACAGTTAGCTGGGAGGTGGAATGAAAGAGTGATTCAGACCTATAGCACATTTTTCGATGATATGTTTTATTACTTCGCACTGCTAGCCTGATATCTAGATGATAAATGACAATACATATCTAATGTGTGAAAAGGTCTTGCAATTTCTTTATTTTTTGTCATTTAAAAGATAAGTCAAGTTATCATTTAACCCTTATTCTATTTAAAGTGAAAATCTCACTAAGACACCCTACTTTAAATATACTACTTTATGTCAGAAAGGACACAGAATTATTTGCAAGATATTGTTGAGCAACTGCCATCATAGCAGCTTACATCTGTCCAGTATGGAAAAATAAAGGGCTTCAGGTTTAAGCACTCCTTGTCTGTTAAATGCTCCCATACACAACTTTCCATCTCCTGGACCATGTAAGTAGCATACAAATTAGATTCGGATTACAATGAAAATACTTATTACCCACTTACATGCAAATATGTACCTGCTACATACAATGCATATCCAAAGGCTTGTATTCTTTTGTACAGATCATAGCACAGTACTACTGCAATATCCTATGAGTGCTTATTTAGGGAACATTGTGGAATAACTTCACAGAAAAAGGTAATGTGCAGTTCTAACACTGCAGTGTTAACCTATGTTTTGCCAAACATCTGAGTTTCTTCACTTGTTTCAAAACAGTAAAAGAAAGGTGGTTATGAAAGGTTTTGCTCCTTAGGTCCTCACACTAGCAAAACTCTAATAAAAGATAACGGTATTTTCAGCTATGCTGGGACTGCAGAAGGAAGCAGATAATAAAATACCTCTGTTTTCTGTTCATTCCCCTTGTGTTTGGAAATACCCTTTTTTTTGCACCTTCTACAACACACCTTTAATAAACTAAAAACAATCAAAGTACAGGGCATTTTCTTGGAGCTTAATGACTCAAGGCACTGAGTCACCAACCTTAACTGATCATTAATTCCCAATCTAATGTCCTGAGCTGAGGTCATTATTAAAATTATAAGCTTGAAAATTTCTTTGATTGATTTGGGATTTTTGATTTTCTTTAATACAAGCAAAACTGTCATATGTTCATAACTAAAAAAAAAAAAAAAGTTGTAGAAAAAGAATATTGTCTTATTCCAACTCACAGAACCAAACTGTCTTCCGTTTTTCTTTGAAAATTCTTTGTGATTTACAATAAAAATAAACATACCATGAATACACATAAAACTGATAAAAACATTATAGACAAAAATGATCTGATTTAAATGGAGTGTTTCTAGTATATTCAGCCACCAAAAAAAATCCACTATATAAGAAAATTCTAATGGCTTAATTTAAATACCTATGATGATGCACTGTTCTCAAATCATTGCTGTAATAAGAAAATGGAAGGCTCTGACAACAGCATAAAAAACACAAGTGGGGTGCCATGGCATAATGCACAACCTACCAGTGACTCCTGGTCTTTAAAAACCAGCAAGTTCATACCTGCAAGGACTCTCTCTAATGTTTTCTACCAAATGTAGCCATGATGTAGCCTGAATGCTTTTGATTTTTGAGTAATACAGCCACCCTTCTTCAAAGCCTAAGAGAAGACACCCATGGACCAAATCTGTAAACAAAGGTCAGCAGCAAATTATAGGTGAATGATATTAAAATATCCAAGGCAAAACTCTTCCTTTGGACACCTTCTACAATCAAATTGACTGTGCTACCCTATACAAATGCGCTGCCACACTCAAAGCCATAAATGAGCCCTGTAACCCAACTCTACCCCATGATTTATCCCAAACTTTACCAAATAAGTGTTTCCGTGAAGTGCTAAACTCCCATTACCAATCTAACTAACAATATTTAAATGAAATTTCTAAGAAGTAAACCTCTTTTATTCTGATACAATTTTCAAGTGACAAAGCCCTAACTCCTGTTTACAATTAAAAGGCCTTTATCTATTTAAGAAATGTTTATTCCTTATGACAAGGCAGAAAAACACATGTAAGACTTATTTCTTAAGGTCTGGAAGATCTGATTTAGGGTCATGACAAATTATGCAATACACAATTAAAATGAGTAAATCTCTGACTGTTTAAAATAAGCACACACTGATTGTCCCCAATTACTGATTAAATAACAATAATTGTCTATGTAATTTATATTATGTACTTGTTTCATTAACCAAATTCCTAACTTGAAATACTACCATTTTATAAGATCTGTTTTCAGACTATCAGAATTGCAATAATTTTGTATAAATCGTTACCAAAGTTGTGGAAAAAACAGTATGTAAAAATTACTTTAAAACAATAATAACTTTAATTCTGTTTGAAAACTTGTATGTTGTTCTGTAGTTCATTATCATTTTTATAGCTATACAATAAACTCTTAAAAAAAACCCTCACCATTAAAAGCATAGCAAATGAGTTTAACTATCATAAACAGAATTATAAAAATAGCTTAATGAATCATTTTGTTGCTATTTTTCCTAAACTTCTGTACAGTAAAGACCTACTTACGTTTACATTAGGACAAGTTCACTTTCATTCCAAGGTAAGAAGCCTGCTTCAAAGTACTCACATCCCTATTTTGTATCAAAATCAGTAGATTTGTCTTCAGTATGAAAATAAAATATAATTTAAATGGGTATGAGTTGATTTGTTATGCGAAAGACTTATTTAAATGTCTGAGCAATGTAAGTTATTCTTCTAGTTGATGTCACTGAGATACAAAAATCATAGAATCAAAAAGCAGTTTGGGCTGGAAGGGACCTTAAAGATCATCTAGTTCCAACCCCCCTGCCATGAGCAGGGACACCTTCCACTAGATCAGGTTGCTCAAAGCCCCGTCCAACCTGGCCTTGAACAATTCCAGGGAGGGGGCAGCCACAACCTCTCTGGGAAGCCCGTGCTGGTGCCTCACCACCCTCACAGTAAAGAATTTCTTCCTTATATCTAGTCTAAGTCTACTCTCTTTCAGTTTAAAACCATTGTCCCTTGTCTGATCACTACACTCCCTACAAAGAGTCCGTCCTCATCTTTCCTATACACCCCCTTTAAATACCAGTATCCCCAAAGCCTTCTTTTCTCCAGGCTGAACTACCCCAGCTCTCTCAGCCTTTCCTCATAGGAGAGGTGATCCAGCCCCTGATCATCTTCATGGCCCTCCCCTGGACGCCACTCAAGCAGGTCTACATGTCCTTCTTATACTGGGGTCCCCAGAGCTGAACACAGTACTCCTGGTGGGGTCTCACAAGAGTGAAGTAAAGGGGAAGAATCACCATCCTCAACCTCCTGGACACACTCCTCTTGATGCAGTCCAGGATACAGTTTTTAAATTATCATTTAAATAAAATCAACATTTAAATAAAAACTGCTGATAATACTCTTTTTACTCAAATTTATATTTTATAGATAAGCTTTTATAGAAACACAAAAGATATTTATGTGAATAAAATCATTGGAAGAACAACACTGGTTCTCCTGAAGACAGATTTGACTTCTAAAGGTAATGCTAATTATCTCAATGGATAAACTACTCAAAGCTGACACATTCTGATTTTGAAGATTACTACAGTTTGGATTTTTTAGAGTTAAGATAAACAGGCAGAAGTGCCAAAACCCAAAAAGCCAACATAAGTCTTGTGAATATCTAGAGTCATAGTCCAGAGAAGTCAAGTAGTCTTTTGGGACTCCACAAGAAGATACTAGAAGAAACAGACCTACATCTGGAAGTCACAGCTGGTCCTTCTCTCTGCTGTTTCATTCTTTGAAGATCAAATCAGAGAGCAGAAATTTGACAATCTCAACAAAGATTCAAGAAGTCACAACGACTAACTGTTTTAAAGACCTGACTCAATTTTTAAAGTGAAGCATCTAAATGCGTTTAGCTCCCTCAAAACTCATCTGCCTTATATAGGCTTGTGTAAGCTTTGTATAAAAATCTGCAGACTTTTTTTCAGGTCTTAGAAGACACTCCCACAGACAATTGAGCTATATGTTTGGAGACAATTATGATCTACAATTACAAGATAGCATTATGTGACAGGTGAACTAAAGGTACAGACTGGTGAATCTTGAAACTCTCAAAAAGGGAGGAAAATATTTTATTAATTAGCATCATCTAATTAGATATTCAGAACACTTTCCAAAACCACTGAAAATAAATCCACCAATTTTTGGTCAGATTCCAATTTCATCCCTTCAACTTTCACAAATACTTCAAGCAACACTATGGCCCTGACATTTTAATCTTTGAAGAAAAGGGTGTATGTGTCTTCTGCACTGTGACTGGGATGAAAGGTATAAAACATGAGAAGCAACTGACAGCGCATTGTCCTAAAATACAGCAAGTTCTCTTGAAGTAGTTCTTTTTTGGTCTTTTGATCAACATATATTAATCTTACATCCTTCCTGTGTTACTGAATCTAGACAACAACAGATGGCTGAATTAAAGAGTAAAAAATGGAAGAATGAGTTATTATCAGTTAAAATGTTGTGCTTTGATTACACTTTTAAAGTTTTATACACCTCCAA